GGGGGTGGGCCGGGGCTCCCTCTTGTGGCAGGCCGGGAGAAGAGCGGGCCGGGGGAGGCCGACGGGGGCTCCCGTTTTATGCTTTTCTGCAGGATTTTAAACCCCATCCCGGCTGGAGGAGTTCGGCCCCGAGGGGCAGAGCTCCGGGAGAGGGTTGGCGGTGTGACCCCCGCGGTGTGAGGGTCAAGAAGCGCCGAGTGCAGGGTCCTGCACCTGGGTGACACCAACCCCATGGAGGCCACAGGCTTGGGGCTGGAAAAGAAGGACCTGAGGTGTTAAATAAAAGCCAGCAGTGTGCCCAGGTGGCCAAGGAGGCCAACAGTTTCCTGGCCTGTGTCAGCCATGGTGATGGTCCCCCTGTGCGCAACACCAGTGAGGCCCCACCTCAAATTCCGTGTTCAGTTTCGGGCTCCTCAGAGGGGCTGGAGCACTTCCAGAGAAGGGCAATGGAGCTGGTGAGGGGTCTGGAGAGTAAGTCCGATGAGGAGAGGCTGAGGGAGCTGGGGGTGTTCAGCCTGGAGAAAAGGAGGTTGAGGGGAGATCTTCTTGCTCTCTCCAACTCCCTGAAAGGAGGGTGTAGCCAGGGGGGGTGGTCTCTTCTCCCAAGGAACAGGAGATGGGACAAGAGGGAATGGCCTCAAGTTGTGCCAGCGGAGGTTTAGGATGGATATTAGGAAAAATTTCTTCACCAAAAGGGTTGTCAAGCATTGGAACGGGCTGCCCAGGAAAGTGGTGCTGTCACCATCCCTGGAGGTATTTAAGAAGTGGTGCTGAGGGACATGGGTTAGTGGTGGACGTGGCAGTGCTGTGTTAAGGGTTGGACTTATCCAAAAGGTCTCTTCCAACCATAATGATTCTATGAGTCTATGAAGGAACACAGCCACAGCTCTTAACCCATTTTCTTGCTTTCACAGTAGAACTCTCCACCTTCCACAGCCACTTGCTCCCTTTTTTCCCCTCTCCAATCACTGCTTACACCAGACACGAAGGCATGGAGAATTACTTCTTAAAACCAACTTTCCAGGGCATTTACAGTTTGCTGAAAAACCAATATACGCTCCCCTCTCTTCTTTTATGGATGGATTACGGGATGAGAAGTCATGTTGCATGAGAGGGCAGGGACAAAACCAGGGAAAGCAGCGACAGTTGCTTGGAACCAACTGTTGTGAATTGCAGCAGTAATTTCATTAATATATAAACTCCATGGCTAGCTGCGTGCCTAACCTTCTAGTGGAACAGCCTCATTTCTTGAAAGCCCTCACCTACTCCTGCTCCTTCAAAACTCTGTCAATCAGCCATAAATTTATATGTACTATATTCCCATAACTAAAGTAGCACATCTGTTTATAAAATAATAGTTTAAACACTTCCAGAGAGCCAAAGGGATGGCTTTGAAAGAGAGATGCAAGCTATTCCTTCCACATACAGTTCAAACTGGAGCTTCTGGCCAAAAAAAATCCATTCAGCGGAAAAAAAAAATCTGTTTTTTCGCTTCAGCTGCAGGGTGGCACCACAGATAAACAGCAAACAGGGCCCTGCTTGTATTCTCTGGCTGGTCAGATGGCTTTTCTTCTAAACCATGTTACAACATCAGGAACAGGTGACAAAACAAGTCAGAAAAAAGGCAGTGAAAGAAAATGTATTTACAGTTTGAAGTATAAACACCGCAGAAGGGTACAAACCGGATCTATAATTAGGAAGAGGATCACACAGTTGTTTGGTTCGACTGCAGTCTGTGCCGGTTGACTGATTGGTGTTGATACTGCAGGGAGAAGATTAAGCTTATTGTGTAAATCTTTAGCTGGAATGTGCAAAGTACTCCGTGTGACAAACACAACCGTGCCCTTAAAGAAAACTAAATCAAAGAGGAAGAAATGAAAAATTTCAAACGTGCTGCTACGAAAAAGGAACGTCCGCAGTGGAAGAAGAGATACAACCACTTCTGCTAACACTCCAGTAGCACACAGGAACTCTGCAGGTGCTTTGGGCCACCTCCTTTAAAAAACAGCTGTGCCAAGTTGGCCTCTAAAGCATGAAGCAATGTAAAATGAAATTACTTACTGTGGGGTAAAAAATGAACAGATCTTTTAGGAAAAGCAGCTTTGATATTAAAAAGGCATGGAAGGGCAAGATAAAGCACAGGTGGCACAAAGGCTGTACAGAAAGGCTGAGTTGGGAAAGAAATTAAGCTTCACAGTTTGGGTGTCAGATTAAATACAGAATTTTTGGATGTCAAAGTGCATGATATGCACTTAAAATGAAATTACTTACTGTGGGGTAAAAAATGAACAGATCTTTTGGGAAAAGCAGCTTTGATGTTAAAAAGGCATGGAAGGGCAAGATAAAGCACAGGTGGCACAAAGGCTGTACAGAAAGGCTGAGTTGGGAAAGAAATTAAGCTTCACAGTTTGGGTGTCAGATTAAATACAGAATTTTTGGATGTCAAAGTGCAATCTCAGTGTTGATATGAAAAAAAAAAAGGCCTTGCAACACAGACATACACAGAGTTAATGGTGTTGACAAATCTTTTCTTCTCACCACTCATATCCTTGGCTCTATCTTTGCTGCGCATTGAGCTTCAACATTTCATGGCCACTGAATTTCACTTGAATTTCCATTATTGTGCCTTCCCCAGCTCACTATCTCTGGGAATAGGCTAGATATCAAATAACTGTAAGTAAAAATATTCCCAAGCTTCTGCACTGTATCATATTTTCTTAATAACAATCCATTAAATCTTAAGAGTCATTTTTACCCAAATGTGGTCCCTTCTTTTCAAAATTATGCATTTCCAGTCTTATGTGAGGCAGCCATCTAAGACAGTCATTATTGCTTCATTTCAACTCTTCGCCTCCCTTGGAAGTGATGTTTTCCTGCTACAGTAACAAACCCACCTCTCCTTGGTTCACTTTGGCAGAGAGACAAAAGGAGGCTGCCTCAGGGTGAGAGTCCAACATCATTTCAGCAGCTCCTGTATTTATGGCTGTATTTTCTTTTCCACGCTTCACCAACCAAAATGACAATCTTTCCCACAGTGCAATTAAGGACTCCGTGTACACCAGAACCCACAGTAAGCCTTACTGCAAGAAAAGAAATACTGGAGCCAGAAAGGAGGACCAAAACCACATTTTCGTCATATAAGGTTTTTTTTTTCATATATTACAAAATTACAATTTCAATAAAGAAGTAGAAAAATAGGCAATTACTGGGAAACTGCTTGCAAAAATACAAGCGCTTCGTCAAAAGGCATTAGTTATCCAAACTACTACACAGAAATGATCCAAACATTCAGTGAACTACTGAGATGGTCCTAATCATTATACTGAACACAGAGGTTGGAATAAAAAATGGAAAAGCATGTTTTTATTAAAAGGTCTGTCTCAAACTGGGGAAAGCCAGGTCTCAGTTACCATTCTGGAATCCAGCTTCACTTGTGTCAGTATCGTGTTCCTTAGGTAAGGGGAAAGGAGAAGAAAAAAAAAAGAACTTTAACAAGAGGGTAGAAATGACAGGGTTTTTTTTTCATATATTACAAAATTACAATTTCAATAAAGAAGTAGAAAAATAGGCAATTACTGGGAAACTGCTTGCAAAAATACAAGCGCTTCGTCAAAAGGCATTAGTTATCCAAACTACTACACAGAAATGATCCAAACATTCAGTGAACTACTGAGATGGTCCTAATCATTATACTGAACACAGAGGTTGGAATAAAAAATGGAAAAGCATGTTTTTATTAAAAGGTCTGTCTCAAACTGGGGAAAGCCAGGTCTCAGTTACCATTCTGGAATCCAGCTTCACTTGTGTCAGTATCGTGTTCCTTAGGTAAGGGGAAAGGAGAAGAAAAAAAAAAGAACTTTAACAAGAGGGTAGAAATGACAGTTTATCTTACCTAGATTATTTGAGAAACAGAGAATAACTGTTAGTAGAAACAGCTGATGCGCCCATATGTTCCAAACAGACTTTATGGCATCAAATTTACTATAAAGAATTATTTCAATACAATACTGTTTGTGAGTAACCAAGCTGGTTTCACATCTACATTCAGCGTTAGGAAGCACCGTGAACATTCATGAGGGCACACAATGCACCATTAATGAACCGTATTTAGCTGAAATTACCAAAACTACACTTGCATGTATTAATCCCCCAAATAAAATAAACGAGAGACTTCATAAATTAAGCACTACACATTCTATACAGATTAACAGTCGTAAGCATTCTGGATTATGCTTCACTGGTCTAACTTATTACACAACAAATGTCTTAACACAGCTCTGTACCTCTTGCCTGTGACAAGAGTAGCTGCTACAAACATAGTGCTGATACTACCAACTATTCACTTGTAATTGTCATTAGAAATACCTGATTCAGTTTCTTAAACTCATCACTGGTCTAACTTATTACACAACAAATGTTTTAACACATCCCTGTACCTCTTGCCCGTGACAAGAGTAGCTGCTACAAACATAGCGCTGATACTACCAACTATTGTAATTCTGTCATTAAAAATACCTGATTCAGTTTCTTAAACTCGACCACTTGGAAGAAGATGTGCTCCAGGATGTGTTTGGCATCTTGCTTCTCCTTTGGGAGTTTACTTGTCACTCCTAGGATATCGCCGCATTTTCGTACGTAAAACTCCAGGTCATCATCAGTACCTAAACAAGAGTCCCAAGGAAGAAGGCAGCTGAATATCACACGTATCCATATCAGCTGGGCAAAAACTTTACAATGAGTCTCCATTTCCTGTTGACATTCTGGGTAGTTAAGTCCTATAACTAAGTTCAGTGGACTAGCCACAAAGTATTCCTGCCAGTACTGGCTCATCTTGTTTAGACTTAAGGTATGTTTAGAATAAACTTCACATTTTAACATAAAAGCATTTAAAAAAAGTGAAATAAATCAGCAAGACTGTGGAAACAATTTATGCATGATATAGGAAACAGCAGGCAGAGATATAATGTCATTTAACAAACAAAATAAAATGTCATGGTACATAAAGTCATGTTACCAGTTTCCAAGGCCTTCTAGTTTCTTGGCCCAGGATGAGAGCAGTGCATTTTCTTAAATGCTCATGTTTTAAAATTAAATATAACAACAATTTTCCTCCAAAAACTTGGGCTTTATATATAAACGTGTACACAGTCAGTCTGTTCTGCTTACATTTGTTTGTAATCTCTGCAAGACGAGCTTTCTCAGAGGAAAAAGTTTCATCCAAGTCAAACAGCTCCAGAGGAGGAGGAGGCAATTCTCTGAAAGCAGGTGGAAAAACCTTGAGGAAAAGAATTAGATGGTTTATTACCAAGTATTTTTCTTATATTTTACAGATCTCCAAGATGACATTTTTGGACATAGATTGGACTTGAAGAAACCTTTCATAAAGTCAAAAGTGACTCCAAATGCCACAGTACAGAGGTACACCTTTTAAAAAATTCCATTTATGTTTTGTAAAAATAACTGAACATTCCGAAGAGTTTAGTCACAAGTATGCCAGAATTACCACCTAGCATCACAACTAGACATACTGCATTTGCAGTCTGGTTTTAGTTTTACTCCATGAGACCCAGGTGATACCTGAGGTACTAAGCTCATCATAACAGTTCCCCTTGGAAATGTATTCACATTAATTCTGGCAACGGTATTTTCTTTTTCATGCAGTCACCATTTATCAGCTGTAAGGATCCCAGTGACACTTCCTCGGTGACCAAGGTAAAGAAGGATGCAGCTATGACGGCAAAACTCAAAGATACTTGCTTTTTGAAATAAGTTTGACATGGCCATAGCTCGTGTATACTTGCTGCCAGCCCAAATCTCTGCTGGTAGAAGTTTGGCCAGCCCTTGCTGTAAAAGACCAACGGTCCACTTTCTACTTCTCCAAAGGAGATGGGAGATGGAACAAGAGCAGGGCAGATGGGCTCCTCCCTGGCAGCAGTGAGTACACTGCTTACAGCACCACTGCTTTCTGAAATGCCACATTCTGTTTTCACAGTGAAGGCGGAACCAGCACCTCACAGGACTGGGAGCAGCTACTTGCTTGAAGGCTGATGTACACAAGGCATTCTGTTAGGGTACTAGATGCTACATTTTCAAGCTCTGTTGATAAAAATTAAAAGCATAAATAAGTGCTCTTTCCTAAAAGATAGTCACAGAATCACAGAATGCTATGGGGTTGGAAGGGACCTCTGGAGATCATCTAGTCCAACCCCCTGCCAAATCAGGTCCACCCAGAGCAGGCTGCACAGGAACGTGTCCAGGTGGGTTTGAATGTCTCCAGAGACGGAGACTCCACCACCTCTCTGGGCAGCCTCTTCCAGGGCTCTGCCACCCTCAAAGGAAAGAAGTTCATCCTTATGTTTAGGTGGAACCTCTTATGTTCCAGTTTGTGCCTGTTATCTCTTGTCCTGTCACTGGGCACTGCTGAAAAAAGCCTGGCCCCATCCTCCTGACACCCACCCTTTAAGTATTTATAGGCATTGATCAGATCCCTCCTCAGCCTTCTCTTCTCCAGCCTAAAAAGACCCAAGTCCCTCAGCCTTTCCTCATTAAAGAGATGCTCTAGGCCCCTCATCATCTTTGTAGCCCTCTTCAGAGCTGTACCCTCTCCAGCAGTTCCCTGTCCTTCTTGAACTGGGGAGCCCAGAACTGGACACAGTGCTCCAAACTGAACTGCAATGTATTGAACTCCCAAGTGATTAATTATTACAAATGCATTTATCAATTTTTTTTTTTAAAGAACTATAGAAATGACACGCAGAGGTTTAACATGAAAAAGGAGGATTCTCCCTGTGCTGTATGAGCGAGGAGGTGTACTCACAGCTGGCTGGAAGGCAGGTAGTGGAGTCTCAAACTGCGGCTGAATGAGTTGGAGGGGTTCGTGCTTCACATTCAGCTGTTCATAAGCTCTGCAGCACGGAAAAAAAATATGAGAGAAGTAGTGATACAACATTCATTTCCACTTGCATGCCATAAAGCCTATAGAGATGAATTTTTATGAAGACACCAGGGTCAACATGATGCATAGCCGTATCATTAAAAAAATGGGATGTCTAATTTTAGAAGGACCCCAGAAAACTACATATCAGTAATAATTGACTTCTACAGCAAGTAAATTAGTTAAAATTACAACAGAGAAGAATATAAGGATAGGTGTATGTACAAGATGATAAAAAAGAAGGAAGTCACACCTCGGTTCTTCAAGCAACTTTTAAACGGATGAATGTGATTGAGGAAAAAGTGATCCAGTTCAAAAAGAGCAGACTTGGGATTTCAAAAAAAGTTTTCAGGAAGACCATAACCTAAAGCTATTTTTAAAAGTTATTTGTTATGGGACGAGAAGGGAGATCCCACTATGAATTCACATCTAGCGAAAACAGAAAACCAACAGAGTAAGAAGAAAGAGTGTCCACAGCAGAGAGGAGTTTCATGGAATGTGTAAAGCCTGCTGCTATTCAAAGTGTTCATGTGTGCTCTGGGTAACGGATGAGTTATGAGGGACAAAGCTGCCAGCGATACAAAACTGATAAAACTGAGCAGCAGACAAATCTCAAGACACAATTATTGGGAAATGCAAAGACAAATGAAATTCAGCTTCAGTAAATGCCAAGTAATTCAAAAGTGCAAAACCAACCAGCACTCAGTTATCACTCCAGAAAATACCCAACAGAACTCTACACAGTTCTACTAAAAGTATCAGTTCAGTGAATCAGCAATAGTCAGAAAAAACCAGAGAGCCATGTCAGGAACTACAGCTAAGACAAGAAACAAGAGAAAACATCACTGTCACACTGTAGAATAATCAATCTTCTGGTGTATCTGTATTCAGAATGCTGCCTACAGCTCAGCCTCTTCCGCTCTTGAGCAGACACAGTTAAGCACAAACAGAAAATGCAGAATACACAATGGAAAAATAAATAAATAAATCAATAAATCACAGCTGCTGACTTGATAACTGAAGGGAGGGCAGTTGTATCCAGCTGATACAGGGCTGTATCAAACAGCTTTGTGAAGTCTCTTGGGTTCTCATCTCCTTCTTGCAGACAGACTCGCAGTTGCTCTGACAGCGCGGCGGTGTCTGGAAGCATGGTATAGTCTGAAATCTGAACACACACACACACACACACAGAGACACACACACTGATTTAAAAAGACTAACCCATCAGCATAGTCTCTTTCGAGTTTGTATCTCACCTGAAATCTCATCTACAGCTAATTATTTCCCTCTTTACCAGCCATGACTATTTGCAGTGCAGCTTATTGCATTAGTAGACTGTGCAAACTCTATTCTTAACTGTAAAGCCCTCACCACATGGACATTGTATCTGGATTTCTGTTAATTCTCTAAAATTAAGAGACAGCATACTAGACAACTGTGCCAAGACTGTTGTTCTCTTTATGCACACAGAGTACACAATTTTAACACCGATGATATTTCCAAATAAAAATAGCGTTTGCATACACCAGTTAAAAAAACAACTAAAATTGATAGACAGGCTGATACCTACTCATACATAGAAAATCTACCTTCACCCACCTTTTCCTTTTGTCTGAAGACACAGAGCAAAGTGCAAACTTACTAAGCTGAAGCAGCAAATGATCTCATAAATGTGGGCAAATTAGGAAGGGACTTTCAAAAATGAAGTCTGCTAATGAATAGTAATATAAGGCTGACAAGAGATACAATGCCATTATTTTTTATGCCTAATCCATCTGTCTACTCCATCTCAAACCCTGAACAAATGGGTCTGCCACAACAGCAGCACCCATCTAGCTGTTAACCACTTTGTGCTAAATACATGGTTTGCCAAAACTTGTGCTGCTGGATCACGCTATTATTTAATTCCTTGTGATGGACCTCTCTTACCTCAGGGTCCTCCATATCCATCTGGTTTAAATGGATATCTGATGTTGTGAGCCACTGGAAAAGCACATCCTGGAGAAGGACAAGACTTCATTAATTTCTAGAGGGTCCAAATAATCTATTTTAACGCTTAAACATTCATATTCTATCTATTAAATAACACACAGCAACGAGGAAGAAAAAAAGAGGTAATAAATCAAAGAATATTTCACTGAATTTCACTGAATTTTAGAGTTGGAAGGGACCATAGAGATCATCTAGTCCAACTCCCCTGCTGAAGCAGGATTGCCTAGAGCTAGAATATCTGTGGAGAAAATACAAGCTTAGTTTGTATTTACATCTGGAAGCATTGATTCATGGCAACGACCATACTTTGTACGAGGCACATACTTTCAGAACACCTCAGCAGGGAACTCCCTTCTTACACATAACAACGTTACATACCCCGCTCTGGAAAGTGCATTGCCATCCCCAGCCCTCACCACATGGACATTGTATCTGGATTTCTGTTAATTCTCTAAAATTAAGAGACAGCTTACTAGACAACTGTTCCAAGACTGTTTTCTTTATGCACACAGAGTACGCAATTTTAACACTGATGGTATTTCCAAATAAAAATAGCGTTTGCATACACCAGTTAAAAAAACAACTAAAATTGATAGATCCCTACTCATACACAGAAAATCTACCTTCACTTCATCCACCTTCCTTTTGTCTGAAGACACAGAGCAAAGTGCAAACTTACTAAGCTGGAGCAGCAAACGATCTCATAAACGTGGGCAAATTAGGAAGGGACTTTCACAAATGAAGTCTGCTAATGAATAGTAATGTAAGGCTGACACACAGAGCAAAGTGCAAACTTACTAAGCTGAAGCAGCAAATGATCTCATAAATGTGGGCAAATTAGGAAGGGACTTTCAAAAATGAAGTCTGCTAATGAATAGTAATATAAGGCTGACAATTTCTGTTAATTCTCTAAAATTAAGAGACAGCATACTAGACAACTGTGCCAAGACTGTTGTTCTCTTTATGCACACAGAGTACACAATTTTAACACCGATGATATTTCCAAATAAAAATAGCGTTTGCATACACCAGTTAAAAAAACAACTAAAATTGATAGACAGGCTGATACCTACTCATACATAGAAAATCTACCTTCACCCACCTTTTCCTTTTGTCTGAAGACACAGAGCAAAGTGCAAACTTACTAAGCTGAAGCAGCAAATGATCTCATAAATGTGGGCAAATTAGGAAGGGACTTTCAAAAATGAAGTCTGCTAATGAATAGTAATATAAGGCTGACAAGAGATACAATGCCATTATTTTTTATGCCTAATCCATCTGTCTACTCCATCTCAAACCCTGAACAAATGGGTCTGCCACAACAGCAGCACCCATCTAGCTGTTAACCACTTTGTGCTAAATACATGGTTTGCCAAAACTTGTGCTGCTGGATCACGCTATTATTTAATTCCTTGTGATGGACCTCTCTTACCTCAGGGTCCTCCATATCCATCTGGTTTAAATGGATATCTGATGTTGTGAGCCACTGGAAAAGCACATCCTGGAGAAGGACAAGACTTCATTAATTTCTAGAGGGTCCAAATAATCTATTTTAACGCTTAAACATTCATATTCTATCTATTAAATAACACACAGGAACAAGGAAGAAAAAAAAAAAGTTAATAAATCAAAGAATATCTGTGGAGAAAATACAAGCTTTATTCATATTCTATCTATTAAATAACACACAGCAACGAGGAAGAAAAAAAGAGGTAATAAATCAAAGAATATTTCACTGAATTTCACTGAATTTTAGAGTTGGAAGGGACCATAGAGATCATCTAGTCCAACTCCCCTGCTGAAGCAGGATTGCCTAGAGCTAGAATATCTGTGGAGAAAATACAAGCTTAGTTTGTATTTACATCTGGAAGCATTGATTCATGGCAACGACCATACTTTGTACGAGGCACATACTTTCAGAACACCTCAGCAGGGAACTCCCTTCTTACACATAACAACGTTACATACCCCGCTCTGGAAAGTGCATTGCCATCCCCAGGTATCAGGAGCTATATATGCAAACCTTTATTATTAATCATGTAGCCATAATCAAGTGCTAATGAAGCTATGAAAAAGTAGTAAGCAAAAAATACCCCACTGACTATTTAAATATTAATAACAATAAAGTAGCGAACAGAAGTTGGAAAAGCTTTTCAGAGTCCTGTAACATAGATAATAAACTATGTCTTTAAAAACTCCCTCCTGCTACTCGTGCTCTAACAAATTCCTCAGGACATCAGTATTGGGTCAGAATCTTCATACTGAATCCACCACATAGCTGTCTTGCTCTAAACAAGTGAGCCTGGATTTGCAAGTGCTGTGGGTATCCACTAAGAAAACGTTAAAAAACAAACCAAAAAACTTACCATGATCTTGCCATTTTCTTCTTTATCTAAATATTGATCACTGAACATGTGGGAAGATCCCAGCGCTGCCATCTTTCCACCTTGACTCTATCAACAAAGAATACAATACAGTAAAAAAATCCTTCAAAAAAAAAAAGATCATAATTTTAGAGGCAGCTGTTAATGCTGTCTAATTACAAAGTGATTTAAAGGAAGTGGAAATTTTGGAAAAGTGACAAAAGCTGTTTCAAACTTGGCAAGCTCAGAAGAGCACAGCAGCATCTTAAGTCTATATGCTCTTAAGGCTCATAAATTTATTTAAAATACCGATCTGCACTTCATAAGAGTAGACAGACAACTTGCTGGCAATCAACTAAGCCCCAGAGAACATCATCAGCAATAGCTGCACTTAGGTTATTGTTGCAGGAAAAGAACACTCTTTTTTCAAGCAAGTAAAAAAATAGTTAAGAATGCATTATTAACTTCCTGCAACCCATTCTTCAGCGTTCAGAATGTCAACCATGGTGGCTGGTGACATGCATCTCAATACAGCACAGTCATGTCAGGTAATGAGAGAAGAGTTTGGGAATTTTATTATTTGTAAGATAAAATGCAAAATATGCAGGTCATGATATTTTAATTTAGCTAAGCTAAACAAGCTGTCTTGCTCTAAACAAGTGAGCCTGGACTTGCAAGTGCTGTGGGTATCCACTAAAAACTTTAAAAAACAAAACAAACAACTTACCATGATCTTGCCATTTTCTTCTTTATCTAAATATTGATCACTGAACATGTGGGAAGATCCCAGCGCTGCCATCTTTCCACCTTGACTCTATCAACAAAGAATACAATACAGTAAAAAAATCCTTCAAAAAAAAAAAGATCATAATTTTAGAGGCAGCTGTTAATGCTGTCTAATTACAAAGTGATTTAAAGGAAGTGGAAATTTTGGAAAAGTGACAAAAGCTGTTTCAAACTTGGCAAGCTCAGAAGAGCACAGCAGCATCTTAAGTCTATATGCTCTTAAGACTCATAAATTTATTTAAAATACCAATCTGCACTTCATAAGAGTAGACAGACAACTTGCTGGCAATCAAAAAAGCCCCAGAGAACATCATCAGCAATAGCTGCACTTAGGTTATTGTTGCAGGAAAAAACCACTCTTTTTTCAAGCAAGTAAAAAAAGAATTAAGAATGCATTATTAACTTCCTGCAACCCATTCTTCAGCATTCAGAATGTCAACCTGGTGGCTAGTGACACGCATCTCAATACAGCACACAGTCATGTCAGGTAATGAGAGAAGAGTTTGGGAATTTTATTATTTGTAAGATAAAATGTAAAATAGGCAGGTGATGATATTTTAATTTAGCTAAGCTAAACATGCATGAAAATGTATTCATGAAACATCTTTGGAATACTCTGAGATTAGCCCTTAATCCTTCCACAGGGACATACATAAGAAATAATAAGTTTTGAACAGAACAAGAAACCCTGTAATGTTCCCCACATCAACTGTGAAACTCATAGCATAGTAGAACAATGAATAACGCTGTAACAAATTTGGAGATATATCAAACAAAGCTCCAGTTTGTTTAATGAATTTCTGAGGTTTCGCATTCCATGTTTTGCAAAGTTTTAACCTGAATTGTACGTGCTTTACCCACAATAGCATGACTAGGTACCCCCCTCTGCTCTTACTTTCTGTTCCTTCACCTTCTGTTGCTCTTCTTTACCATATCTCTCTTCCTCTCCAAGAGCTCTTGTTTTCCTTCTACCAAGTTTCTCTGCTCTGCTTGAGAGACAACCTCTGTCTCTGGCTTCATCTTCTACCCTTCTACCCTCTTCCTTGAGCTAGATAGGAAAAATGATGCCACCTATTTGACATTCACGTCATGGTATTATATCAAATGAAGAACTATCAGTATGATGTCTAATGGTTTCCACTGCACAAACATATCACACTTTGAGATCAATCCATGCAAAACACTTCATGGAGGTGCAAGCAAGTTACATGGATTTCACTCACTACTTAATTTAGTTGTTATAATTCTTAAAACACTTCTCTTCATACTGATTAGGTGAAGCACATGAGACTCCACATACACAGGCACACCATGGGTGCAAAATTAGACATGAGTCTACGGGTCCCTTGGATCTATGGCTAGATAGGAAAAATGATGCCACCTATTTGACATTCAGGTCGTGGTATTATATCAAACAAAGAACTATCAGTATGATGTGTAATGGTTTCCACTGCACAAACATATCACACTTTGAGATCAATCCATGCAAAACACTTCATGGAGGTGCAAGCAAGTTACATGGATTTCACTCACTGCTTAATTTAGTTGTTATAATTCTTAAAACACTTCTCTTCATACTGATTAGGTGAAGCACATGAGACTCCACATAAACAGGCACATCATGGGTGCAAAATTAGACATGAGTCTATGGGTCCCTTGGATCTACATGCAAATATTGTGTGGGTGGAGGGATTTTATTACATCTTAGTCCGACAGCTTCAGGTAAAATGTGAGCAGTAAATGTACTTGTAAGCTCATTTCATGCTGCTGAATTGTCTTTGATTTACAGGGCTTATTTCAGCCACAACATGGGGGGATGAAGTTGGGCATCCTCAGGGGAAAAAAATCACCTTCTTACTGAAGATATCAAAAAAACACTAGTGTTAGAAACCCATCAACATAGTAAAAATGTGTTAATGTGTTTATGTCAAATAACAATATTAATTCTTTGTTTGTACGCATAAAACCACTACTAGATTTCTGATCAGTATTTTTTTTATAAATTAACAGGGCTGGATGGCGAAGATAACTTAAAAATCTACTGGTTCCAAGGTGACACTCCTCTTCCTTAACTCAATAAGGCACATTTATGAAGCTGACAATAATCTTCCTTACTAAGCGATCACTAAAATACCCAAACTTTAAAGAACTAAAAATATTAATCTGTCAACTAAATATATAATCTTTGCTGACCATCAAATTAATTCTCCTCTGAAACCCATGCAAAGAAGTTTTCCATTAAAGAAGCAGGACTCAGTAGGCTCATCTGGACTTTGCAGATGCATCCATAAATAGCAGTGAGTTTGGAAGTACTCCCAGAAAAATACACTCACAATGTTTGTGTGAAGCAGGGGGAGAATGCAGGGTTTGTTACATGCAGAATCATACCTCGTGCTGATAAAAGGCAAGAATAGGCCTGTTGAGGGGGAAGCAGACAGATCCTGTCGACAGAACAGCCACCGCCGGTTTCATCACATTCAGTGTGGCACCAAATGGGTACACAAAAGTGAGTGCCCTGCAGGAAATACACAAACTCCATAAGTACCTGCATGTATCAGGTAGGCTTGGTGGTTAGAACACTCGGTCTGTCTGCCTAAGCTGCAAACTCTAATTGTGGAATGCCAACTGGAATTGCGGAATGCCATGGGGCACGGTTTCAAACATTCAGATCATTATAATGACATTTGGGTCTCTTTCTACAGATTTTCCAGGTTGATGATTTGCCTTCAATAAAAAACAAAGAACACTCTTAATTCCTGTCTGCACACTTTGTATCCGAGAGAAGGGTAGTTAACTCACAAAAGAATACACATTCCGGAACAAAACTACATAAAATGCTTTTACACTTAGGTTTTTTCTTGTAATCAACATTCCGGAACAAAACTACATAAAATGCTTTCACACTTAGGTTTTTCCTTGTTTCCATGTTTCCACACGGTCATTTATTAGTCTAAAAACTAGCTGCAAGGAAGAACACAAACATTGCTTGTTATTTTCAGAAAAGCTGCGTTCTCCTCAATGCTTTTTCACCCCTCTGCAGCAGAGATGGGTGGAAAGCTGAAAATTACAGTAAATGTCTATTTTACCCTGGATTAAAACTCTTGAAAAAAGACGTAAGGTTGCTCATGCCTGTGGCCAAACCACTCACTATCTACAGGTTACTCATATTTACATTGTTTCATCCGCTCATGCCTGTGGCCAAACCACTCACTATCATACTTACATTGTTTCATCAAATTAAAATCTACAGACAAGGGACAAAAAAGATCTGGTCAGGAGAGAAGTAATTCCCTTTGAAACCTCTCACTCTTGCTCCTTCCTTGGTTATCAAGCCTTACTGAACAGATTCTCCTTGAGGAGCAAGAAGCTGATGTAAAAACACATTAGAAAACCTCAACACAAGCACAACACACTCCTATAGATTACAAACCTGCTAAACCCGAGTTATTCTACATCTTTTCACATCAACTTTCTCAAAAAAGAACACTTACTGTGCGTCACGTCCACTTCCATCTTCATCTGTTGTCTCCAGCAATGTTTTTCTTGCAGCTTCACTGATTCCCCTACAAGATGTTGAAAAGCAAAACTTACTGAAAACAGTACGGATTCTACTAGTTACTGCAAAGATTTATACATCCCATATATTCACCTATTCAAAACTCCATCAGAGATCAGTGCTTCTTTCGGGTGGTGGTACTTGTAATATACATTTCGTACTACAGCATCTTGAGGAAAGAAACAAAAATAAAGAAATTTACATCTTAGTGTAAATTGCTTAAATATAGCGTATATAGTGTAAAGTGCGCTAGATACAGCAATGAAACGTGAGTTTAGCTCTCACAATCCCTGGGTCTTTGCTTCTAACACCACAAAGCTGGCAGGTGGCTGCCAGAACAGGAATATATTTGCAAGTTCATATAAAAATAAGTACATCTCCATGTCTTCTGCAATACAGAAAAGGCAGAAGGATGATCCAGTTAAAAGAATATGTATTGGTTTATAAGTTCAAATTCTTTTTCTATACATCTTCAAAAAGCATGATGAATCTAATACTGTTGATGCAAAAACAAAACAGAGTCTAGAAATGCCGCCAAAGACCCTAAAAATATTTTACGTACGCTGAGACGCAGTCATTTTGGTTGGTTTTTTTCTTTTCCACATTGACAGAACAAAACCTAATGAACAGCAATTTATTGGTCTGTTAAAGAAAAGAACCACTGTTTGTTGAAGGTGAATATGAAGTGATTTGACCCATTAATACACATGGAAATAATGTTTGAAATGAAAGGCCTTTTAACAAGAAATGCCACTAGAATTATTCTTTGTTAGAAAATACCATTAAAATTGACAACCACAGCAAAGGAATGGAGATGGCCAAGCTGTTATCAAGGTACTATCTCCACGGAAAACCTTTGTAGTGGTTCAGTTTCACACTGCTGTGTACATTTGGGCTTCAAAAAAACCCACCTCTTGGACCAACAGGTGCTTTGCGAGAGGGATCTGCCTGGCTTATATCTACAAAGGCTGAACCTGCTCTTTAGATTCTGCTAAAAACAGAGGAATAAAAGGTATCAGTGAGTCCAATTACCATTATTGAAAACGATTCCATATTCTTCTAACAAGAAGTTAATATTTGTGCCATATCGGGTCTCTCCACCTTCTCTTAGCATCACCAGGATGGCTCCACCATCCTCCAGGAATTTCTTCAGAACCGAGAACTAGAAGACAGCAAAGGTCCAGATAAAAATACATGTGAAAGAATCTACACACAAGACTGAAGGAAGTTATACGGAGATGAGGGAAGGTAAACGATTCTATCTACTCATAATGAACTCGATCCTGTCAGAAAAGCATTCAAATTTCAATTTGTGTAAATTCACATAAAGCAGTACTAATGCAAATTTGTCTCTGTCCTTCTTCTCTATTTTGCATTCAACAAATCTTGAAACATAACAATTTGCAAACAATTATTGACTTCTTACCTCAGCAGCACTGAACTTTTCTCTTGGCCCAGCTGTAATCCACAGTTTTACTCCAAACAGTTTCTCGGATGTGATCTCATCTTTTAAGCTATGAATAGATTAATAAAGACGCGCATTATTCTTGGATATAGTCCTGAACTGAAGCTTAGTTTCTTTTTTTTTTAAATGAATATCAAATAAATGCAAAGCAAGTAACCTCAGACACTTCACATCCTTTTACCTGGGTTTAAAGTTGACAATTCGAGTGAAAATAATCCTTACATGTTTCAACCCATTAAATAGTAAAGCTCCTCTAACAAGGTACTGTGGCAGATCCAGAACTGGTATAAACCATCAGAACTGTTAAACTTTGCACCTGATGAGCTTCCTCTTATTCTTTTTATTTTTTTGCTCTGTGCACATTTTGTAGTGGAGAGATAGGCAATATAATACCTACAGGGGTTGACTTCTATTTGTCCCAAACTCTAAATCAAGATAAGACTCTAAAACTTGTAGTGGGACTTTCATCCTTATAACTTATCCTCTGTCTGTTCCACAGATAAGCCAGCAGAAAGCCCCAAAGCCAACTCTGCACAGCATCCGACAGCGAAATTACAGCTAATGCCACCGAGAGCAGTCAGATTTTCGCTTACGACAGCGGTTCCCCAAGACAATCTGGGTATTGGATGCAAACCGTGGACAAGTTTTGGGGTTCCCGGGGACCGCAGGTGCCCCGACCCCTTCCCTGCGCTGCAGGGGGAGGCACCCCGGCCTCCTCGCTGGGGAAGCGAAGGGGAGGAGAGGGAGGTGAGGCCGATCCCCACAGCCCGGGCCGAGGGAGGCCTTTCCTCCACCAGCTGCGTGAAGCCCGGGCGCCATGGAGGCCCCGCCGGCAGAGGCCCCTCAGACCCCAGAAACGCGGCCCCTCTCCCGCCCCAGCGCTGCCGGGAGGGACCGGGAAAGCCGCCCCCTCACCTCTGGATCTTCCAGTTACCGCGAAGCCTTTTCCGCAAGGCTTTGTAGTTGCTGGCGAGGGTGAACGCCTCCCCTTTGGACGCGTTGAAGACGATGGCGTTCCGCGGGACCCTCTCCATAGGGTTACCCGGGGAGGGGGTGCGCTACGGAAGGACGCCAGCTCTGGAGGAGGGGGAAGCGAGCCCCCCACGCCCCAGCACCCCGGCAGGAACCCCAGGGCCAGGGTCGGAGCTGGGCGCCGGGTGGGACCGGGGGTCGGGGCCCTGCCCGCCCTAGCGGCAGGGAAAGCGGGCCCGGCGGCCGTTACCCGGCCCGCTCCGCCTAGCAACGCGCCGGCCCCAGGGCACATGCGCAGAGGCCGCGACTCCGCTACCGGGTGTCGGGGGGGTGTATGTAGACGGTACCACTGCGGCGGGCTGGGGGGGAACGGGGCTCCGTGCACCGCCCTCGGGCAGGGTAATGGGCCCCACCTGCTCCGGCTCGGGCGTCAGGCAAGGCCGGGGACTGCCAGGGCCCACTCCGGACTAGGCCTCGCCTATCGGCGGCACAGGGCAGGGCCCTGACCCCTCAAGGCAGCTGCACCCGCCTAGGGGAAGGTTTCTGGGCCTATGTAAAAGCAAAAATCCTAATCCTGTTAGCTTAAAGTATAGAGTTTCTATTTAATTTATAAAAAAAACCACACAGGCAAGTATTGGGGTACAGCTGCTCACAGGCACGGGATGAAGGCAGCAGCCTACCCCTTCTCCTCACCCCCTATACACACACACACACAACAGAGATGGACACACATCCATATATGCACTTTAATATAAACCATGTCATGTTTCTGATGACTTCAGCATGTACAAGTCAGGAAAAAAAAGAATTCTTCCAACACAAGCTTCCCAACAGTTCGAGCATCATCACACAGCTTCTAGAAACCCCTTGTTTACCCCTGTGTGGCAGGTGGAAGGTCTTCACCCCCTTCCTCCTCCCCACAGCAACAAAAAACAACTTAAAAAAAAAAAAAAAAAAAGGGAAGTGACATTCAGGGAGTATACCAGCATTTAAATTAAGGCAGAATAAACAACTCTTCCACATCAGTGATGGGTGTTTTCAGATGGGTGCTGGAGGCCTGATGTGAGGGCCCAGTGCTGCTCGTTTCACTAGTGTTGGTGTGTCTTTCATGTGCTGTGAAAGGATCCCCCACCCCAAGGAGGGGTTATAACCTTAAAGAACCTTATGGCTAAGCAGCTCTTTTTTTTTTTTCCCCCCCAACACAGTTTATCTGGGATTTCACCTCCACACACACTGGCTCCTTCATAACCTCCGTAACAGCCTCTGTGTTGCCTGGAAGAGAGGGATGATCCACACATCCTGGGCAGAAACTGGCTGCTACGAAAGGCCACAGGGCAGCTCAGGATTTACAGACCTGAACAGTAACCGATGAACAGTTTCTGAGCCCAGCTCAGTCTGGGGCAAGCGGCTTAAGTGGCACAGGCCGCTTAAAAGGAAGGAAGCCACTGTTCTGGGTAGTGTGAAGAGTTTCCCTCTCTGCTGGGTGGGGGACATAGCTTGGCAGAGCTGCTCCACCAAAAGAAAAAGTGGCCAGTTAAAGGAACAGGGGTGTTGATGTGAATGATGGTACATGCCTCAACCATAAATACAACCACAGAGTGAATACAATTCTGCCCAGTAGCACAAAACACTCAGGGGGAAAATAATAATAACAACAGTGTCCCACTTTCCCTGCCAGGGGAACAGTCATTCAGAGGGAAATTCAAATAACAAAAGTTAAGAGCTCTGTTCCATCCCCACTAGTTAGTGTATTAGTCCCAATTTGCTTAAACCATGAGCAAAGGACAGTACCAATGCTTTAAAAAAAAAAAAAAAAAAAAAAAAAAATCCCCAAAATAAAACCACATTCAGTTAAAAAATGGCTTCTCAAAGCCTTTATAAAACCTAGATGTCCTCTTCAGTTGGTGCATAAGAAAATCCTAAAAATGCATCTGAGGCACTGGAGCTGCTGGCTGCTAGGTCAGGCGTGTGGGTGATGGAGGTGGAGATGGCTTCTTGGGTGAACTCTGGGTCGAAGTGTCGCAGATCAGATGGACCAGCCTAAGCCAAGGAACAGAGAACATAATTTCCAGTGAGCAGACCCCAACCAGCCACTTGTGTTCAGACAGTATAAACTCAGCTGCTCTTCTAAAAGGGTCACCACCACTGCATTTGCAGTTCCTAACCTGCACTTCAGCATCCCTCAATGTCACCGTAAGACACCTGGAGAGGATTCCTTTTGTATACCACTATATAATGGACACCAGCAGAAACACCCACTTACCACATTGGGGTTAAACGGAGGAGTAATCCTCTTGTGGTACAAGTCATCCCAGTTTATTGGGCTGAAGAATACATGGTTCTTTATCTCAAGCTGCATAGAAAGCGAGAGGGGAAAAAGAGTCACTCTTCTGCCAACCCTCCTTTTCCATCACCTGCCAGATGGTTTCACAGCATTAAGTGGTTGAAGCAACACTTGGAGTTACCACATATCCATGTAGGGGTTATGTGGAAAATCCTTAATACATGAGTGTCAAGGTCCAGTAATCCCTTGAAGGGAGATGACACCATCCCATTGGTGTCCTAGCTTGCCACCACACCTTTCCCTTTGGAAATCCAAGTCAACCCCATAGGCCCCTTTTAGAGAGCTGCAGAGACATCAAGCTGCATGGAAAGCATTTTCCAAGGGGGTGCTATTATCACAAAAGAAAAGCTCAGAATGGAAAGGTTTCCTGTCCATCCTCCCTCCTGGTCATAATGGAGGCCACCTACAAAGTCTGTCTTGGCACCCAGCCTCTTCTTCTGGTCCTTGTGGAGAAGTCCCTGGAGAATGTCACAAGCTGCCACAGTCTTGCTTCCTTGGATTTGGAGTGGCTTGTGAAGAATGTTGTCATACATCTGAGACACGTCCCGGCTGTAAAAAGGAGGCTAATTTGAAAGAGAGGAGAAGCAGCCTGGTAAAACATAAGGAACCACGCATCACAGGTCAAAATGAGTCCTGCAGTAAGTAGCAAGGGAGACCTACCATATCTCTGTCCAAAAGGGCAATGGTATTATTGAACCAGGTCATCTAATTCAGGATTCAGTTGTCTGCATCAGGTGCCACGTGAACACCAGACCAACCTCACACCACAACTTTTGAAAAATTCCCCACCGTGTAAATAAAAAACAGACAGCTTCCAAACTTACCAGTCCAAACAGCATCTCATAGAGGACGGCTCCCAGGCACCACCAGTCTACTGTCCTGTCATACGGCTGCTTCTTTAGCACCTCAGGAGCCAGGTACTGGGAAGAATCAGAAGCAAATATTCAAGTCAAATTATAAAGCAAGGGCTTTGCCCTCATAAGTACACAAACCTGGCTGCAGTTCAAGCCAAGCAAATGCATTAGGAAGCACAGAAACACAGTTCCCACTATGCTTTAGTAGGCTCTCCACTTGCTTCAGAGCAGTGGGGGTTTGAGTGGCTGTCTTTCAAACCCAAAGTTTCTAGGCTAAAGAAGGTTCTCTTCCTATAGAGGACTTGTACAAGGGTTTGCAACCCACCACAACTCAGCCAGTAAACCTGTCCTGCGCTGACACATTACACCTCCAAGAGCCTCCTGTGATTTTGATCAGTCCCAGTTTTTCAGTCCCAGTAAGTAAGTTCATCCAAGACAGCAAAAACTACCAATAACCACCACCAAGACAGCAAAAACTACCAATAACCACCACCAAGACGCAACAGGCAAGAACTCAAGCAGCCTGCAGAACAAGCAGCACATCAAGGCTGGTCTTGCATGGGATTATCTCTGTGTGCTATCAGGCTCCCTATCTAGGGCAGGAAAAAACCAACACACCAAAAAAAACACAAAACAAAGCTCAAACATTCCTGCTTGGTTCATGCTGTACTATTGCACAACTGAGTCCCCGCTACAAGCTGAGTGCCACCACCAGGAAATTCTGCCCACTTCTACTGAGGTGGAATAATGAAAGATACCTTGTTTACAGGCCCTTCCTCAAGCCACCCGAGGAAGGGCAGCAGGACCAGGTCTATTACCTTGGCCAAGGTCCTACCAAAACTCCTCATCTCAGTAAGAAGCAGGAAAAAAGCCCTCAAGAAGCCAAATTTGAGATAGGTTTTGCTAAAACCTATTTGAGGTGCATTGGAGAAAAAGGCATTTCCTCCCCTGTGAGCAGCGTTCACATTCCTGAGGAGAGCCTGGTCCTCTCTTGTGGTGTTTCACAGGGTATTTCGCAGCTCCTGCATGCCAAGGACATGCAGAAGGGCACCGTGAGGTCCTGCGTGTCAGTACCAGCAGGCTCCAGGGTGTCCAAGCAGGTAAACAGCTTGCTCACGGGCTCCTAGGGTCAAGGTTGTCTCCACAGCCACCTGGAGCAGCTCCCGTTTCATAAAGCTGGCCATTTCCCAGTGCAGGGTTCCCTGCCCTTGACAGCACAGCGAGTTTGGAGTACTAATCAGTTGTTACAGGTAAAACTGCCTCTGCTGAGTAGGGATTATCCAAACTCCAGCAAGTTAGTTGTCCAAGCTGATGACCTCAAAGAGCCCAAGATGGTCTAATTCACAGAGGCCATGTTTTGAGATGCTGAGCACCCACACAAGCTTGAGACCCAGAGCAGCGGGTCTCTGAAGGCTTTCTGTCCCCAGGTCATAGCAAAATCCCCGCACATGCTGTACCTCAGGAGTGCCACAAAAAGTAGAGGTTGTCTCCTCTTGCTCCATTCCTTCTTTGCAGAGTCCAAAATCTGTCAATACTATGTGTCCCTAAAAGAAGGGAGAGAAGTTTCAGCTTGGCCCACTCTTTGTGGAGAGGAGACAGGATTTCCAAGCATTGGCCCTCACATCACGTCTCATGTATGTTTTAGCTCCCCACTGCTCACCTTCTTCCCCTCCCTCACCTTCTAGACATCCTATAGTATAAGTACTATAAGCCTATAGAGAAAGTAGAATCTAGACATTATTTTTCATAATTCTTCTCTTAAAAAGTTTCTCAACCACTGCATAGCTTTGAAGAGATCCAACACTGCTGTGCTTTGCCACTGATTTATCCCAGAGCCAGTGTATATGATTTTATAAGGTGGTCACCCACCAGAGTAGCAGCAGTGACTTCCTGTTAACATCCCTGATCTTGGGAAGGGGTTGAGAGGTCCCCAAGGGTGCAGCTCTGCCAAGGGCAGGCTTGCTCTCTCTTGCAGGATCTGCACAGGAATGCAGTGGTGTGTCATACAGAACCCAGGCAATGAAGTAAGCTATAGCCCAGCTGGCAGAACCATAGCCCTCTCTTTATGGCCCTGATGCTTTTAAAGCCAGAAGGAAGGCAGTACAAGCTGTGAATATACCTGGCAATCCAGGAGGATGTTCTCAGGTTTTAGGTCCCTGCAAGACAAAGAGTGCTGTTTGAGCAGATTTGGCCAGATATTAAAAAAAGCCAGATCTGAAACAGCATCAGGTAAGAACAGGAGCTGACTAAAACTTCCCAATCCAGTTCACTGAGATTTTCCCAAAGTGCAGATTCCCATCACTGTGGGGTATCAATATACAACATACGCAAACACAGAAAGTCTTCTGTCATTTCAGGTCAGGTTGGACAGGGCTCTGGGCAACCTGACAGAGCCAAAGATGCCCCTGCTCAAGGCAGAGGGGTTGGACTAGAAGGTCTTTGAAAGTCCCTTCCACCCCAAACTATTCTGTGACTCCATGAGGTGTTAACCTGCATTTTCCTGCATTATCTAAGCATAAATTGCTACTGAGAGACAATTTCCTACTTATTGAGCTAGGTTTATTTAGATCTTTATGTTTAACCCTTTTTTTCTCCTTCCTATTGTCAGGTTGGGAGTATTTATTGCCCATCAGGTCCCGTGCAGAGAGCACCCCTCTTGCAGGATAAATGCCAGCAGCGCACTGTCTTATCTGGGGTAGGAGATTCTTCAGCTACTCCAGCCCTGCATTTGACAGGGCCTCAGTGAAGCCCTTGTCCTCCCCAGCATCACCCACAGCCTGGCTGGGTAGACTTGGTGCCCCTGCTGTCCCCAGAGAGGACACGTGCCTTACCTGTAAATGATGTTTAAAGAATGCAGGTACCCAATTGCACTAGCCACTTCTGCAGCATAGAATCGGGCCCGGGGCTCACGGAAACAGCGCTCCCTTTGCAAGTGGAAGAAGAGCTACAAGCAGATCATAAGGGTGATCAGTTTTTTTAGAGAAAAAAAATAAGGACGTCAAGAACAAGCTTGAAAGCCAGCTGCTCAAGTGGAAACTGACATGTAGCAAATAGCATGTGAATGTCACTAAGCAAGCCCAAACACTTTTCTACAAATTGCTTCATTTGTCCTTTTATATCACCATCTCATTTAAGAATTCATTCCCCCCAAAAATGGTCATCTGCTGATCTAGCTAAACTGCCTAGCTTACTACAACCCACAGGCCAGTTATAGTGGTAGTCTGGCCACGAGAAGCAGTACATGCAGAGAGATGAACCCTCTAAGGTCCCCAATATGAACCCTATTTGGGCAAGCCATCCCTGTTAACAGTGTCTCCCAGCCAGTTTCAGAGAGCACAGAAAGAGACAGCTGGAAAAAGGTAAACTTCTACAGGACAGAAAAAGAAATCTAGCCTACTGCAATGGCATCACCCAGGCACTAGACCAGGATCCAGAGCTGGCCCACAGGTAGGTTTTGCCTAAAGCTCACCAACATCAATATTTCCCATATTCTCTATAGAGAATTCTTAGCATCCTTGCCCTGGGAATCATCTGACTTAGGTCATAGCCAGCAAGATGTTCTCTCTCCTGTAAATTGAGTAAAGATGCCACCTACTCCTGGATGGTCCTTCCCAGCAGTTAAAGCAATATCCTACTTCCACATCATTATGTTCTGACAAGAAACAGTTTTACACAATAAAACAACATGTTTGGGAAGGACCAAATAGAGGATTAAAATAAAGCCTGTAACCACTCACCTCTCCTCCATTTACATAGTCAAGCACAAAGTAAAGCTTCTCCGAGGTCTGGAAGGAGTAATGGAGTCCCACAAGGAAGGGGTGCTTCACATTTTTCAGGAGCACATTGCGCTCTGCCATGATGTGGTTTTGCTATCAAAAAGCATGCAAGAGGTTAGAGTTTCAGACAAGAGTCTAGTCCAGTCTGCCATCAAAAAGCATGCAAGAGGTTAGAGTTTCAGCAAAAGTCTAGTCCAGTCTGCTGTGGGGGCTCACTGCTCTTTTGGAAAGAGGTGGAAGCCCCAGAAAGTCATCTCCAGCCCCAGAAAGGGAACGACAATCTCCTGTCAGACCTTATTCACCTCCATGTTCCCATGGCACAGAGAAACCTAACACACGAGTGGCCTGCCAGCCACAGGATACCTCAATTGTGTTACCAGGATTGCTCATACACTGACCACCATGTGCAGAAGCGGCCAAGGAAAACAGATGTACCTCCTTTTTCTTTAGGATGGTTTTCTTATGCAAGACTTTCACAGCGTAAAAAGTCCCATCGCACTTGCGTTTGGCCAGGAGAACCTGCAACAGAAAGTCCAGGTCACAGTTTTGAGTCTTTCACCTTCTGCTCCTTACCATCACTATGCTGAGCACAAAACACCTCACGCTTCTTTCCTTAGAGATTGCAGGACAGCTCAAATTAAGAATGGACCACAAAAACTCTTTCAAGTCTCATCTGGTCTCAGTCCTACTCAGGCCAAACTCCTCAGGAGAGGTGCAAGCAAAGGACATAGCTAGAAAATCCTTCAGCAAGGAAGTCTTCCCAAGCTGCTTCTAAAGAGCTACAGCCCACCTGTACAAATCCACTTACTTTTCCAAAGCTTCCTTTGCCAATAACCTTCAGGAAGTCAAAGTCTGTTGGCTTGGCACTGTTGGGCAAGAATGAAGCAAGTTAATGTTTCTGGGAGAGAAATATGCAACAGCGACACTACCGTCAAAGCAGTGGTCCTTCTTGGAAACATGAGTGTTTGTGAAAGGGATTAAAGGGCACTGGACGGGTGACCCTCGCTCCCAGCTGTCAGCAAGGGAGGGATTCACACCACGTATGTCCTGACAAGAAACCCAGCAGGGGATGAGCAGTCCCTCAGCAACCCACCCGCTGTACACAGCAGAAGGTGAAGACACCTCCCAGGACCTTTACAGGGGACTCAGTTTATCCCCATTTCTAGAGTCAGGGAGCCAGCAATGTTGAGGAATACCTTCCTTTACTGCCTCTCAGGAGAGCTGGGACAAGGGACTGCAGATATGGTCAGGAGAGGGTGATTATAACAGGGACCAGCCATAAGAATGCATTGATGATGTTCATGGTATTAAAGGCCAAGGAATTTAGTTAGGACTTTTGCAGACACCACCCATGTGAGACACCGGGAGCAGCTGCATTCCCCTGCCAGATCTCTCACTGCAAGCTCTGGCTCCCATCCTACCTGGCTTTTGCAGGGAGCTTACTTTGGATTAGCAGAAGGTCCAAGGTTGATGTTGTCAGTTGCTGTTGGAGGCTAGGGAGGATAACAATAACGTTAGTCACAAAGGCCTCTCTGCAGGGCGTGCTTTCCCTTCCTCAGTGCAGCATCACTCGCACAGAGCCACTGATAAACACCCATCAGCAAAAGAGAGAGCGGCCGCTTTGGCAAGCTTTTAAGTGATGGGGAAAGGGAGAACGCAGCTATTCACTAAAGCAGGGTCATCCCCAAGCTGGAAGCTGTACTGAGCTAGAGTCTGTGCTGAAATCCTCATCCCGTACTTGCGCAAAGAAAAAAAAAAAGTACTAAGCAACTGCTTGGCTCCTGACTGGAGACTTTCAATACCTGCTGTGCTGCCACAGAAAAAAGGCACTGTGTGGCTCTGTTGCTCACCACAGCCCCGAGACAACAAGGCACTCCCCCAGCCTGCACTCCACAAGAAGCCCTGTGCACAGCTCAGAGAGAGGAGCACACCTCCAGCAGGACATCAGCTTATCTCCAGACCCTGCAGCCCCCTGCCCACTCCCACTAAGCCCCAAAACTGCCAAGTTTGAAGCCTTGGAAGCAGCCTTATGCACACCCAGCACCACAGAGCTGCAGTCTCCCTATGCATCCATCCATATGTCCATTCTTCCTCCTGTTCCTGCCCAGAATCATCCCCTCCCCAGACTCTGGGAGCATTATGCCTTTTCCAAAAAGCTATATAGGGTCTATCAGCTCCCCTTTTTCTCCATTCAGCATCACCCACAGGGTAGGAGTCTTACTGCTGCCTTGTCCAAGTTAACGCAGGCTCTCCTCCTTGCCTTTCTCCTACAGGGCACCCACCCCTCTCTTCATCCCAATGGTGAGGACTTGCTGGCTCAGAGCCATGATCTCACCTGGCTGCTTTTGTCCGGGCTCCGGGAACGATCCATTAAAAAAGCAACTCGTTCAGCACTTCGGAAAAGAAGAGCAAGCCAGTGTTGGAAAAAAAATCCAAGAGAGAAAGAGCTTCACATCATTAACCTGCTGGTGCAGACCCCAAGACATGCTCCCCTCCATCACAGGAGACCTCAGCTACCCATTGGTAGCGCTGCTGCTCCCAAGGGAGAAGGGGAATGGGGGGGACAACATGTTGATGGAGGTGGGGGAAAGGTTCCTGGGTGCACAAGCATATTTAATGCCACAAGTAGCCCTTGATTTGCAATGGCAGCAACTGGTTAAGGTGCTGACACCTGAAGACCAGCACAGCCCCGCCAGCCACACAGCATCAGGACCAGACAAGGTTGCAACCCTCCTGGCCGTGGCCAGATACAGCCCCCACCCCAGCACACAGGGATGCTGCAGCCCCCAGCCCTGCAAGCCAACGAGTGTCCCCACAGGGCAGCCAGGAAGGTCCAGCTGGGTCCCAGCATCACGTGCCATCCAAGCTGGCAGCGCTGAGAGGCTGCTCCCCCAGGGCAGGGCAGACCAAGGCAGGTTGGGGCTGTTGACATTGCAGGGAAGAGAGGCTGGCCCTGGCAGCCAGGGACAGCTCAGTGAGCAGCGGTGTTAAAGCACAGGGCTCTCATCTACCCAGTGCTGCTGGGGCTGGAGAAGTTGGGCTTCTGAACACTTGTTGGTTCAGACCCATCCTGCTTGAATATCACGGTGGAGGGACAGGTCCTACCACCCCAGGGGTTCCTCCCCCTGGTTTTAAGGGTTCCCCTCCACAGTCCTTGAAAAAGCTGGGATTAAATAGATGACAGAAGAAAAAAAAAAGAGTTCTGTCCCCTTCTCCAGAGCACTCTGTCCATCCCCCCTCAACCCCACCAAGCTCTCACACAGCAGGGAGGCTCTGAAGGCTCCTGTCCCCCTCAGCCACCCTCTGCCCTGCCCTTCCAAAAAAGGGTGCCCGAAGATCCCAGCGGCCTCCCCCAGACCTCACCTGTGGGTGCTCCCCCTCTCCGTCCCCACACGCCACCAGGCAGAGACCCAGGGCCATCCCAGAGCCCCCCTGCTCCCCGGCCGGGCTGACCATGGCAGGAGATGCTGGGCGGCAGCGGATGCTGGCGGCGGTCCCTGGGGACTGCCCACATCTGGCCGGTGCCAGCCAGCTCCATTCACCGCCGGGGGGTTATCAGGCTGAGCTTTTAAAGGGCTCCCGTCCCACCAGGAGCCTTTCGTACTCACTACGAGCAGAGTCGGGAGCCGGAGGCCTTGATGGTCTGTCCTATCCTCTCACGGCCGTGCCTGATGAGTTCTGTGAGGAAAGTTGGAGCACCGGTGCCGATTAGCTGGCGGCGCGATCACAAGCGCACAGAGGCACATTTGTTCTTCACTGACCTTGCTCTTCTCTCCACAGCTGCCCTCCTCCCCCTTCCACCCACATACCAAAATAACCAGGAAATTATAGGAACCAGGACAGCTCCCCTCCCAGCCCCGCCAGCAGCCCTCGATAGCTCACAGGACAGGGAGAAGTCCCACAAAACAGACACCCTGTCCCACGGCAGAGGGGTCTCAGGCTAAAGCATCACCACCGAGCCTCCCTGAGCCACCCCTGGGTCCCCAGGAGGGACGAGGAGAGTGCTCACAAGGACGATGTTGTACTGGGATACGTCATGCACTTGGCACATCCCCTGCCCCTTTCATTCAGGACTCTGCCAGTAATTAGGGACATGAATGAAACCTTTCAGGGCTCTGCAGGAGGTGAGCCAGCACACACACGTCGCAGCAAGTAAGTGACTTGCCCAAGGACACGCAGCCAGTGCCAGAAGCTGGGATTCCCACCGAGGAGCATCCCTGCTGCTCAGCCGTGCAAGCAGTTGCCACCACCCATCATCATCATCATCTCTCCCCTGAGCCTGCTGCTCCCAGCACAGGGCGAGCAAGAGAAGAGCCTGAGAAGTGCAACCTGTATGGAGGAGTTCCTAGTTTTGCTTCGGAGCAGATAACAAAAATATTCCAAGACTCTGTTTTACTCCCTGGCTCAGCCCTAGTTTTGCAACTGGAAGGAAAGAGAAAGAATCAAAACATTCACAGAAACCTACACACACACCAGAAAGGTGCCGTTGTAGACACAAGCAAGTTTTCATCCTGGAATAGTTCTTCTACAGACCAAGGACTTGGCAGCACCAGCCGCCAAAGCCCATCTCCCCATGCAAGGAGTTTGTAGGACAAATTTTGAAGTAAACACAAGCCCATTTACAGAGGCCTTCCTGCAGGATCTGCCAGATGGAGGGACCTGCACACTCCACAGAGCCACTGAACCACCAGCAGCTCTGGGACCTGGGGGCAGATTTGATGAGGAGCCAAAAACCAGGCTGTGGGTTTAGAGTCTCTGCATAGACAGGGAGGAGAAAGCAGGAATTTAAAGAAAAACCCACAAACCATTCAGGGAGTGAGCTTACAACATCAGGCTGGTCTGAGACCCTGACCTGGTCTGGTACTTTGTCCTGCAGCAGGTAGGAGAACTTGTCCCAGCAGGCACCCACCAGTTAGGGACAGCATGCGGGCAGCACCCAGATGGATCAATCCCCATCTCCTCCCACTGGGCATAGTCCTCATTCCCCTGATGGTCTGGCTCTCCCCAGCTCACCGAGGTCTACTGAAGGTCATCCAACTCCTGCCTAGGGGCAGTGTCTGTCCCACAGGCTGCTCAACAGACCAGCCAACATCATGGTCACAGCAGAGGGACCTGCCTTTCAAATCTGAACCCCTAACAAGCTTGGGTTTGGCCCCAGGGTCAGCTTGCTGCCGTAGACACTGCTCTCATCCCACACTCAGGGGAAAACAAGAGAGTTCCTTCAGGCACAGGTGGGCATCTCACAGCTTGGGCATCTTGAGGAGCACGTGGGCAAGCCTCAGAAACACATCCATCTGGCTCAGGGGTACTTGCTGGCTGCACAGGGTGCAGGACAAGTTCCTGGCTTACTCTGAGGGGCTTGGACAAGGCTGCTTTAGCAAGGTCTCCAGAACTGCAGCAAAGCAGGAGCATCGCTGCCGAGCAAAGCTTCCAGAGCCACAACCCTGCAGCCCCTCCATGCTTCCCTCCACAAGCTACATTCAGCTCCACTGCTTCTTTGCTGCAAGTGAAGCCACTCAACAAGTCCCTGCTGACCAAGGGCAGCATTTTCCAACAAAGCTATTTCATTCAATGTACTTACTCTAAGGCAAGACTTTCTCTTTCTGCGCTTAAGCACCGTGCACATTTTTAGGATATGTATATCCCCATCCCCTTTCACTTTCTCTTCAATCTCAGAGCCAGAGCTTGGACAAGGCTGCTTTAGCAAGGTCTCCAGAACTGCAGCAAAGCAGGAGCATCGCTGCCGAGCAAAGCTTCCAGAGCCACAACCCTGCAGCCCCTCCATGCTTCCCTCCACAAGCTACATTCAGCTCCACTGCTTCTTTGCTGCAAGTGAAGCCACTCAACAAGTCCCTGCTGACCAAGGGCAGCATTTTCCAACAAAGCTATTTCATTCAATGTACTTACTCTAAGGCAAGACTTTCTCTTTCTGCGCTTAAGCACCGTGCACATTTTTAGGATATGTATATCCCCATCCCCTTTCACTTTCTCTTCAATCTCAGAGCCACCTTCTCCAGCCTGAGTCCACCTTCAAAGCCAGGTCAGCTTCTAGTTTAAATCTCCCGAGCAGCCAAACAGACTTTTCCTTATCACTAACAAACCCTACTCCCCCTAAAGCACAACGATTTCCTGAGCGCACACACACGCTGAACAACAGAATCAGAACTAGGTCACGAATATACGCTGGGATCCTTGGTTAGACATGCCTGGCTGCATCCCCCCGTGTGCCTGCTGGGGCAGCAGGGATGCTCCAGGGCCACAGAGACCATCAGCAAGCAAACCTCAGAGTTTCCTGATCTGATGTGACTATTACACACCAGCAACAAACCCCTGCACCTCACAGCTCCCTCCTCAAAGACCATTTTCACCCCAACGCCCAGACCAGAGGCACTCCCCCTAAAGCACAACGATTTCCTGAGCGCACACACACGCTGAACAACAGAATCAGAACTAGGTCACGAAAATACGCTGGGATCCTTGGTTAGACATGCCTGGCTGCATCCCCCCGTGTGCCTGCTGGGGCAGCAGGGATGCTCCAGGGCCACAGAGAGCATCAGCAAGCAAACCTCAGAGTTTCCTGATCTGATGTGACTATTACACACCAGCAACAAACCCCTGCACCTCACAGCTCCCTCCTCAAAGACCATTTTCACCCCAACGCCCAGACCAGAGGCATCCCCCAGGCAGCAGGTACCCGCTCGCACAACGTAAAGCTGCTACTTACAAGTTGGAGCCGTTACCGCCGCTCAATCTCCCCCCACCACACATCCCTGGGTAACGTACGTTTTCTTCCCAGCACAGCACAAGCAGCTCCCTCTTCCTCCACCAGTTCTGCCAGCGGTGACCCACATTCCCATGCTAGCCCAGCGTTATTTGCTACAAACACATTACTAATGCAAGGCGTACTTTGTGCGGAGCGGCAACCTCATAGACTCGTCATCTGCGAGCTGCCTCCCACCCTCTTCCCTCATCTCACCGCTCCCGGCATCGTTTCCTACCTTAACCTAGATTGCAAACCCCTCCGAGCGAGTGCCTCGTCCTCTCCTGCTCTGGGAAGGGCTGGTTGCCAGCATGGAGAGGCCAGGAGGCCTGGCAGGCTGTCACCGGGACAGCAGGCGATGCTTTGGATGGAGCCCGGGGTTTGGAGGAGCAAGGTTGAGAGTGGGGCAGCAAAGGCAGCCCCTCATCCAGCAGAGGGGCTCACGCAGCATAAGGGGGAGATGCCCCAGTTTCAGCTCCAAGGAGGAGCACAGGGGGAGGTGGGAAGAAGGATTCCTGCAAACACATGCTTTTACTAGCAAGAAAAAAAAGCTGCCCAAGCTTTTCCCCTGCTAGAGATCTAAGAGATAGCTCCAGGCCAGTGCTGAGCTCCACTTTCATTCCCATTGAGACACTACAGCAAGTCCAGGAAGGGGTTAGGAAAGACTTTAAAGGACTTATTTGCTTGGGGAAGCTTTTTGAGCTGCCCTTTGCAGAGCTCCTGGCTTGGCCAATTTTTTCTTGAAGACCCTTTCCCCTGCACTCCAGGGACACTGCAAACCAGAGCAGGAACCCCAGCCAAGCAGCCCTGAGCAAGCTGAAGCCCACAGACAACCAAACTTCCCTACTTTAGAGAAAAGCTACATGCAGAGCTGGGGAAAAAAAAACCTAAACCAGTAGGTGGCTAAATCTTGCAGCATTTTGCAAAAACCAGTCCCATGAAAATAGAGAATAAAGCATCAAACACACCTGGGAGCACATCTACCAGCAGAGGCTGGGTCCTGAAGCAGGGGAAGCAGTTCACGGCCAGCGAGCACAGACACCCCTCATTCTCCACACTTCCCATCCTCACACCAGCCCACCCCACCAGACCAGAAGCCCAAGGCTTTCTCCTCAAGCTCAGAGGGGAGTAGCTTTGCTTCCTGCAGCAGTTCATTTAGCCCACGAACACAAACAACCCCCCACACCTGCCCAGGGTGATCATACCACTGCTGCTAGCTCGCTGCAGCCCTTTAAAGAGAGCAGGAAAAGCTCATCAGCTGCAAAAAAATGAAGAGACACCACCCAAGGAGTGATAACTTAGGTGGGGATGGTAGTTAGGGTGATCATACCACTGCTGCTGGCTGGCTGCAGCCCTTTAAAGAGAGCAGGAAAAGCTCATCAGCTGCAAAAAAATGAAGAGACACCACCCAAAGAGTGATAACTTAGGTGGGGATGGTGGCTTTGGGTGAGGAGAGAGGGGTGCAGGTGGTGGGTAGGAGTCAATTACATCCTGGCCGGCATCTCAGGTGCTCAGAACAATTTTTTACACCTGATAAGAAGGTGCAAATTTGTCTCCACTGCCCTGTGGTTTGGAGGAAGGTCAAAACTGTCGTTTGGTTCAGGTCAAACCCAGCAGAAGCTGCTTCTTCCAGCATTTTCCACCGCCCCTGGAAGGCTGCAGCCCGGGGCAGACAGCCCAGTGCTTTGCAGTGGTATTAAATGCAAACATAAACACGTGTGGAGGGGGAAACCTGGAGTCAGAGGCATGCAGGGATTTGAGAGAACAGAGACTAAGCTCTGAGCAAAAGGAGCCACTAGAGAAGGGTTGGTGTCTTCTCTCTCTCTTCATTAAAAAAAAAACATTCTCTTTTTGCTTCCGTTGTCGTTTCCTATAAAATCTCCCTTGTGTGGCTGCAGCAGGAGAAAATCCAGCTTCCCTGGGGGAGCAGAGGGGCTGGTTGCTGTGGGACAGGTCCCTAACCCCAGACTGCACCTACCAGGGGGAAAATATCTGAAACATCCAGTGTGCTCATTGCCATGTGTAAGGAGAGAAGGGAAAGCAGCGTGTTGCTTGAAATATCATTTTTTCTCAGGTCAAAGCCTGAATTTTCTGCTCAGCTGACGTTCTCAAGCTATTAGCACTGTCAGCTTTTAAAAGTATTTCCTATTATGCTTTTATTTTCTCTGGCTTTGTCTCAACCTGCATTGAAATGGTCAAGCTTCAGAATAGTTTCAGCAGCTAACTTTCATTTTCAAATCAATATCTTCTGCTTTTGTTTCTTTCAATAACAACTTTGGCATTATGTACAAAATCTACTTGATTTTATTTCCCGCAGAAAGGCATCTTTAATTAAAAATTCATTTTCTATCCAAAGAAGAGAAAGCAGAAGGACCCTGGAAGGGAAAATTTTTACAAGCTAGAATACATAAAATCACTAATCTGGAGCGTGGCCTGTGGTGATCATGGTTACTGATGGACAAAGCAATGGCTGGGCTGGTTTTGCCCATCCTGCCCCCTCCATCTGTAAGGGTCACTGGCACGTGTGGGCTGTGCACACTGGCCATGTGATGGGACACTGTCACCCCCCATGTCCACAGCCACCTCCTGGGCCACCCGTGAGTCCCCCAGGAGCTGGGCCCCGGTGCAGCCCACGCTGGAAGGGGTGACCCCCACTGGAGCCCACCTGGAAGGTGTGCAATGGGGCTCTGCCCTCTGCCAGCTGCTCTACAACCCAACACTGGTAGGAGACCTCCGTAGGGAGGTCTTCTCCTTGCCCTCACTGTCCCCAGGGGGTTTAGTGACACCGTACCAGCCAGGAGCATTACCCTTCGTCTTCCCCAGGGTGGTGGAGGTGGGCTCCATCCAGGCCACGTACATAAAGCCAGCTGAAATAGTCCCTTCTCCTTACGGCTGGGGCAGCCACTGGCACCGGGTGTCCTTGGGAGGCAGAGCACGCAGAGCCCCGACGTTTCTCCAGCTGCAAAGGCGAAGGGCAGAGGTGTAAGAGGAGAAACAAGCCCTCGGGTGCAGCACTGGCTGCCCGCCAGCCGGGCACGGCTCCAGGACATGGACTCAGCTCCCTGACCCTTGTCTGGCCACCACCCACCCAGTGGTCGGTCTGGTGGAGATCATCGGGGTCCTTCCTCTGCCACCCCTCCAGTGTCCCTCTCTTTGCACTCCCCTGGAAAGTGCTCTGGGACTGGCAGATGGAAGGCACTGGAAGAGAGCTGGGTGGTACTAGTTGGCTGTTTGACTTCTGTATGACAAAAGAAATTTACCCTGCAACTGTTAAATTCACTGGTTTCTGCTCTCAGGAAAGGATTTTGTTATTTGATGCTTTTGAGGAGCTGAGACCCAATTCGTCCTCCCTGTGCTCAGGGTGACTGCCCTGGCACCAGTGTCTCTCTGGCACAGGAGAAGGCATTCTCTGGAAGCACAAGGACCACCAGTAAATCCCCAGCATAGGGCAGGTCCTCAACATCAGATACCTGGGGCAGCTGCAGGGGGCTTTGCCCAGGAGAACCCCATGACTCTGCCTGGAGAGGTGCCCTGGGCAAGCAGTTGTCCCCATGATGGAGGATACGAGTGGGACAGGTAGATGTGAGCAGGATCAGCCTCCCGTGTGCTGCCCACCCGGGCAACCCTTCCCACGTGCAAGAGGTGAGACTTTCCCCCTTGGCCACGGCCAGCAGCATCCTGCAGCAGTGGTGCCCCTTGCCCACCTCAGGACACATTCGTGTCACGTTGAAGGGGCTGCTGGATGTGGGAATGTTCTCAAGGCACATACGTTATACGGGCACACAGGTACTACAGGTCCTGCAGGACATGGCCATCCAACCCTTACACCAGACTGGGCTTGGCCCGTTCCCCTGCCCAGCACCCTCACACTCCAAAATTAAACAATTCTCGCCCACCCAGGCAACCCTTCCCACGTGCAAGAGGTGAGACTTTCCCCCTTGGCCACGGCCAGCAGCATCCTGCAGCAGTGGTGCCCCTTGCCCACCTCAGGACACATTCGTGTCACGTTGAAGGGGCTGCTGGATGTGGGAATGTTCTCAAGGCACATACGTTATACGGGCACACAGGTACTACAGGTCCTGCAGGACATGGCCATCCAACCCTTACACCAGACTGGGCTTGGCCCGTTCCCCTGCCCAGCACCCTCACACTCCAAAATTAAACAATTCTAGTCAAGCCAGAGGCCAGCTATGTGTCCATGTTGGACACACTCCAAAATTAAACAATTCTAGTCAAACCACAGGCCAGCTTGTGTCCGTGTTGACTTTTGCCAGCATTGCTGTCTTCTTTGGTGCAAGGGTGGTGTTTCCTTGCCCTCCAGAGAGCACATCTGTGCCAGGAAAACCTCTGGTTGGACCTGGGTCCAGTGGTGCTGAGCAGCTCTCAGGTGATTTAACCCCTTCTGGGTGAAATCACGCAAAGTGGGAACAAGCCCTGGCCATAGAAAGGTGATTTTTGGGCTTTTGCCAGCATTGCTGTCTTCTTTGGTGCAAGGGTGGGTGCAAGAGGTGAGACTTTCCCCCTTGGCCACGGCCAGCAGCATCCTGCAGCAGTGGTGCCCCTTGCCCACCTCAGGACACATTCGTGTCACGTTGAAGGGGCTGCTGGATGTGGGAATGTTCTCAAGGCACATACGTTATACGGGCACACAGGTACTACAGGTCCTGCAGGACATGGCCATCCAACCCTTACACCAGACTGGGCTTGGCCCGTTCCCCTGCCCAGCACCCACACACTCCAAAATTAAACAATTCTAGTCAAACCACAGGCCAGCTTGTGTCCGTGTTGACTTTTGCCAGCATTGCTGTCTTCTTTGGTGCAGGGGTGGTGTTTCCTTGCCCTCCAGAGAGCACATCTGTGCCAGGAAAACCTCTGGTTGGACCTGGGTCCAGTGGTGCTGAGCAGCTCTCAGGTGATTTAACCCCTTCTGGGTGAAATCACGCAAAGTGGGAACAAGCCCTGGCCATAGAAAGGTGATTTTTGTCAGCTGTGCTGGCACAGCTCAGAGCCTCCAGACATGGGCTGTGCTTGGAAACGTTTTCCCTCTGCCCCACGGGAGGAAATCTGCCTTCACTTCCCCAAGCCCTACAAAGGGCCAAGGGCTGCGTGGCCCCTCGAGCTGCGGCGGCTGAGCCTGGTCCCTCTCTGGCCAGTGCCAGTCACCCTGGGGAAGTCACATTTAGAATCATAGAATCATCTAGGTTGGAAGAGACCCTTGGGATCATCGAGTCCAACCATCTACCCTACTCTACAAAGTCATCCCCTACACCATGAAAGTCATCCCCTACACCATTTGCAGCTTTTCTAGGGCTGGACAACAGAGCCTGTTGCCTCTACACGCAGAGAAGTGTATAATATCTTATATGCTATGCATATATGCTATTTTATAGGAAAAAAATGTACTATCTTCATCTCCTTACCTAGCAATATCCATAACCATATCATAAAAGTGTCACTGAAGAGGAACCACATGGTCCTGAGCAAACGGAATTGCAGGGAAGGGACCAGATAAGATTAAAACAAATATTTTTCTAGAGGGCACACAGCAAGTTTCCATCGACCCGCAGTGAAAGGTGACCTCAAATGTTTGGCTACTCAGTTATCTCTGTTGGGTAAGGAATGGGATAGGGATAGGGATAGGGATAGGGATAGGATACGATAGGATAGAATATTCTTTAAAAGGTCAGAGCCTGTTTCTTTATCTTAAGAGGATTCAAAAAAGATTTAATAAACTTTTGGTGACCAGTGGGGTTCTACAAAATACATTATTCCCCCCCGCTATTTCTTTTAGCTTCAAAAAGCCAGAGCCCTGCCTCAGGCATTGCCCTTGATTTTCCCAAGGAGTCCCACACGGGTGCTGGGAAGTTTCCCATGTTTTAGTGACCGGAGCCAAGAGAAGGGCGCTGGGGACCAGGTTTTTATTCTGAGGGGCAGCTAAAGTGGGTGTGAGCAGCTCTTGCAACTTTCTGTGACTCCATTTCTACAAATCTGAACATGGCAGAATATTACAGATTTCTTTTAAAGCCTTTACGTCTTCAGAGGAATAAATGCCTGATGTTATTATTGCCATTAAATTAGTTGGCCGGGACTTTCTTGCTCCCAAGTGTGTTTTTTTTTCAAGTGTAGGCACAGTCTCGGTGAATAAATAACATGAAGTTGGAAGCAGCCTGACTCTAAGCGACCCTTCCTCTGCTGACTGGTCAGCCTGGTCCTCAGGGAAGAGGTGTCTTCTCCTGCCCAGTAGGACTTTGGGACACATTACAGCCTGTTTTCAAGCATTTTATAAAAAAAATCAAACCAAACCACAGTTGTTTTGGGGGGCACCCCTTTTCTCCTGCAGCACGGTCAGCCTGACGCAGGGTGCACGCTCAGGGCCACCACCCACGGCTCAAGCCCCGAGTGTGACCGGCCTGGTGGGGACAAGGGCAGAGAGGCAGTTTCCTGGCCGGATTGAGCAAGGCTTAGCAGCTCAGAGACGGCTCGGAGAGCCCAAATCCAGGCCCCCTCACTGCTGGCACAGCGCTGGGTTCCTTAGGAAAGCTTGTGGGTGAAGCGTCCCTGGGAATGCCTCCCCCTCCCCCTGCTCCATCCACGGTGTGGGATGCATGTTTCACCGCTTTTTATCCACATGGAAAACCTGGGAAGCAACTGGTGCTGGAAAAGCCAGAGATAGTCTCCAGCAGAGCTATACTTTTTATCCACATGGAAAACCTGGGAAGCATCTGGTGCTGGAAAAGCCAGAGATTGTCTCCAGCAGAGCTGTATTTTTTGTTCAGTCTGGAGAAGAGAAGGCTCCAGGGAGAACTTAGAGCCCCTTCCAGTCCATAAAGGGGCTCCAGGAAAGCTGGGAAGGGACTCTTGATCAGGGAGGGGAGCCATAGGACGAGTGGGAACGGTTTTAAACTGAAGGAAGGACAAGTGGGAATGGTTTTAAACTGAAAGGAGAGAGATTTAGATTAGATAATAGGAAGAAATTCTTTGCTGTGAGGGTGGTGAGAGCCTGGCCCAGGTTGCCCAGAGAAGCTGGGGCTGCTCTATCCCTGGAGGGGTTCAAGGCCAGGTTGGAGGGGGCTTGGAGCAACCTGGTCTGGTGGGAGGTGTCCCTGCCCAGGGCAGGGGGGTTGGAACTGGATGATCTTTAAAGGTCCCTTCCAACCCAAACCATGCTACAATTCTATAATTCTATATATATATCCTTCCAACCCAAACCGTTTTATGATTCTATAATTCTATATACATTGGATCCAGTGGGCAGCCCAGTCCAAACTGAGCCAAGTGCTGCTCAAGACATTGTCTGGACCCATGACCTCCTGTGCAAGACCAGCAGATCTGAATGAAGTCTGCTGAGCCCATCTCTGTTCCAGGCTGTGGCACTGAGCAGGAGCAGCCCTCCCTGTCCTGCCAGTGAGGGGGTGCCTCGTTAGAGGGATGCTGGACACAGCACCCCAGAGCTTCACCAAGCCCAGCCTGGCCACGGAGACACAGCCCAGGAGAGCACGGCCAAAATGACCTGAAATTCCTGGTGCAAACCTCACCCTCCTGGGGCTGGCTGCAAAAACCCAGTGCAGCCTGAGCCTCCTTTCCCTGTGCAGGTGGACATGGGGACACGCACGGTTGGTCACCAGCTACTTCTGCTGGTCTGCCAGCCCCTGAAATCACCCAGGGTCAGACACACTCACGGCTGCTCCCCACGGGAGCTCGCCCAGGGAGGTGAGCTGCTGTGGGGCTGCGGACACAAGCAGGGTGATGGAAGCTCCTTGTGATGGAAATTTCCTGGGGGAGGCACAGTTAATGCAAGAAACCTTTCCACCTGTTAAAAAATATTTCCAGAGGGAACGAGGAGGCTGCTCATCTTCTCTCTGGATTCCTCCACAGCTGGAAAAGAAACCCACCGCTGGAAATCAAACCCCCTCCACTTCCAGCTGCTGTCCCCGAGCCAGCTCTCCCGCTGGCCAGCTGGCACCCTGGCAACAAGGGACGAGTCCTTCACGAAACCCTCTGCTTCTCCCAAACACCTCCTGGACCTCATGGAGAGACGGGAAAGTCGCGATCGTCCCGGAGAAAGTAAATCAGAGTTACCTTTGGAGAGCGAGGCTCCTGGGCTCTGCCACCTCCAGCTGCGGGACGCAGCCTGCGACCGCTCTCCCTCCCCGTGGGTTTATTTTGGTGATTCGGTCTGAAGGTCGAAGGAAAAGTCCGAAGGAGTGGCTTGTGGCAGGAAGTAAATGATTACCCCGTCTCGGCGCAGCCGGAGGCAGCGGGAGCCGGGGTGGGAGAGGAAAATCCCTCCTTTGGGGGGGATTAGGGGGCAGCTGCCCGGCGGGGAGGTGCAAAGGGTGAGAACAAAGTGCTCTGTTCACCGGAGGCTGCGCCAGGTCACATGCTGGGTCCCAGCAGAGGTCATGAGGCACGGGTCACCTCCCAAATGCCAGCGAGACCTCCTGCATGTGGACACGACCCATCGCTGGTCCACCAGAAGTCCATGGAGCATGGCAGTGAGGAAGGAGCCTCGTCCCCTGGCAGGAGGGATTGCATCCAGGGCAGGAGATCCAGGGGCTTCTACATGCATGAACTTTGCAGGTGAGACAGTCCTACAACCCAACACAGAAAAGATGTGGACAGGCTGGAGAAGGTTCAGAGAAGGGCCACCAAGATGATCCAAGGGCTGGGAAGTATGAGGAAAAGCTGAGAGAAGTGGATTTGTTCAACCTTGAGAGAAGGCGGCTTAGAGGGGACCTTATCACCATGTTCTGGTTTTTAGAGGGTGGCTACAAAGAAGGAGACTCCCTTTGCTTAGAGGGGACCTTATCACCATGTTCTGGTATTTGGAGGGTGGCTACAAAGAAAGAGACTCCCTTTGTACAAGGAGAGGGGTGATGGGTGGGAGTCACATGGAAAAGATGAGGGGTGATGGGTGCAAATTAATCCTGGGGAGATTCTAATTGGACACAAGAGGAAAATTTTTCACAGTGAGAACTATTGGAACAATCTCCCCAGGGAAGCAGTGGATTCCCCATCACTGGACACTTTTTAAGATTCAGCTGGACAGGGTGCTGGGCCATCTTGTCTGACTGTGCATTTGCCAAGACAGCTGGACAGGATGCTGGGCCATCTTGTCTGACTCTGCATTTGCCAAGGAAGGTTGGACCAAGATGATCCTTGAGGTCCCTTCCAACCTGCTATTCTATGACCCTGTGACTCTATGAACCCCCCTTCTGCCTCCTGCATGTCCCTCCTCTGGCTCCACACTCCCCATCCTGAGCCCACACGTACACAGGAACAAGCACCTGAGCAGACAACGAGGACCGAGCCCCATAGGAATATCAGAGCTGAGCCCAGAGGAGCCCTCGTGGAGCCAAAATCTACCACCCTCCATTCGCCCCCTGTTCCTCTCCGTTCCCTTCTGCAGCTGCCCAGCACCAATGGTCACCACATCCCTGCGTGGGTGGGTGTCCAAACAATGGTTTGATGGTTGAACATGCTGGTGGAGTCACTGCTGGTCCAACTCCTCACCCAAAATACAAATTTCATGGGCACAGGGCATTTTCTGATTATGCAGGAAGGCTTCTTTCACCCTCAAAAGCCCTTTTGCATCTCCTCCTCTCATGGGAGCAGATCATGATGTAGTGGGTCAATAGGTCCCACAGCTCTGAGAAGACAGGAATGGCAGCACAGTTCCTCCAGCTATTGTCAAGCTACTCACCTCTCACCATTGGCATCTTCCCTTCCTACCCAGACCTGTGAATCCCAAAGCAAAAAGGAGAAAAGAAAGGGTCACTGGATGGAGAGGTCATTGCAAAAGCAAAAGGCTGAGCTGAGGTGGGATTTGAATACCCAGAGGGGTATAAAGATGTATAAAATCAGATGATGGAGAACATCGGTGCCACCATCAAAATAAGCATTTTCTGAAGGAATAGGTGATGTGGAGCATCCAAGGTTCCTGAGGCCAAGCCAGGCAGCTGTGACCACAGCCAAGGTCTCTGTCTCTGTGAGCGTGGGGAGAAGGCAGTGCTGTACCTGCCCATCTGCAGCAGCTCCCACTGATGTCCCGTGGGGTGGCATGGCCGTGCAGGTACATGAGGATAACAGAGACTTGGTATCACCCTCATATCTCAGGGAATGAGCCCAAAGAGAAGTCCCCATTGTACTTGAGGAACCATAAAGACACAGAAAGAGAAATAAAATCCGTTCCCTGGTAGTGCAGAGAGGGCCTTTGTTTGTCTCATTTTCAGAACGAGCAGGTTGAGAGGATTGCTGCAGCACATGACCAGAAGCCACGAAGCTGCAGACAAAAGCCATTTGGAACAGAGATCAGACTTTGCCATCGCGCTGGCTTTTCACAAGATTTCTGCTTTGTCCAAGTTAAACCCGCTGCTGTTTGAGGGGGGGGGGGGGAAGTTTGTTTTGCTCCCTCCTCTGCACCCCCTGCTTGAAAGGCCGAGCATCTTCCACCTTCATGGCTGCTCTCACCAGGCTCAGAGCAGCACCAAGATGTCTGCTGTGCCGGGCTGGAGGGGGCTGCCTGCCTTGCACGCCCGTGTCACAAGGCTTGCACCAACAGCCACGGATGGGTTTAGAGGGCAAAGCCTCAGCTTATCTCCCCGGCTTGCTGAGCGGGCTGGTTTTGGGGGCTCGTGGCACGTCAGCTGCCAGCCCGTGTGGGTGCCCGGCAGGAAGAGGGAAGGAAGAGCTTGAGCAGAGCTGACAGGGAGACAAAGCCCCGTGGGGCTCCCCGGATCATCGCTGGCTTTACCATGGCTGAAAACTGCAGGCAGCCAGGCACCAACGTGCACCCTAATGCTGGGCATCACGGCGGGGGCAGAAATGCCTGGCACCATCCCTCCAGCCTGGCACCATCCCTGCAGCCTGGCAGCGTCTCCGCTTCCCGAAAACAGGGGGTTGAGGGGGCTGTGCCTGGGTAGGAGGAAGGAATTTGAGGTGCAGGGGTTGGGGGAACGCTCTGCTCCTGCTCCCCTGCTCTGCCCATCCCCGACTTTCCCCTCATTGTCACAAAAAAAAAAAAAAATATGCACAAATCATCTTATAGCCCCAAATACACTCAAAGCAGGAGCCACTTCTGTTCATAAGGGGAGGGAAAAATAGTGCCGAATTCTGTTTAAAACCTCTGCAAAGGTAAAGCTTCATAAAACGGTTTCCATCGTCGCCTGCCCTGACCCAGAGAACCTTTTGGCCCCTGAAAAACAGAAAGAGGTGGGACCCTCAGGTCTGTGAGCATCCCGCATCCCGCATCCCCGCAGGAGAGGATGGCAAGGAGCAAACTGCGCTGCCGCTGCGGCACAGCAGCCGTCCTGCCCACCTCCCATTGCTTCCTGGTGTTCCAACGGGGAGCACGGAGAGGGAAAAGCACCCTAAAACCACCCCGTGCAAAGCCAGTGCGAACCACAGACGTGTCGACCTTCCCGGGTTCCTCAGCTCCCCGCTCCCTCCCGGCATCCGAGGGGTTATCTCAGCCCCACAGGAGAACATGGGCCCGATCTCCCCCCACCGAGGTCCCTTCTCAGCACCCAGGGAGCTGCCGGCAGATGAAAAAGCAGCCGGTAGCCATGGAGGAGGAGCTTCTCGCCCAGGGGGGGTGCGGAGGGAGGTGCGGGGGCTCCCGGGCCGCCCCGTCGGGGGATGGCGCTGGACCACCGCCGGGGGTCCGGGTTGAGAGAGAGAGGGTATGGGGCGGGAGAGGGGGGGACAGGGGGGAAGGGTAATCACGGGTCACCTGCCCCGGGATGGGGATAGGGATGAGGATGAAGATGAGGGTGAAGATGGATGGGGCTGGGGATGAAGATAGGTGTGAGTGTAGGGATGGGGAAGATGGGGATAGGAATCTCATTCCCATGAGGATGAGGATGGGTGTGAGTGTAGGGATAGGGGTGAGGGGGGGGATAGGAATGAGGATGAAGGTGGGGCTGGGTGTGAGGATAGGGATAGGGATGGCGGCGAAGATGGGGAGGAGGAGGAGGAGGAGGAGGATGGTGATGGGGCTCAGCTGCATCCACCCAGAAAATGGGGCGGGCAGGGAGGGA